GGAGGAGGAGGAGGAGGAGGAGGAGGAGGAGGAGGAGGAGGAGGAGAAGGAAGACTAGAGTAAACCATGATGCGTCAACGATGCTGTAATACGACCTCCCGCCCGAAATCCCTCCCTCATGAATCCCTACTGGCCTGCGCCACGGCAAGCACATTCTTGAAAGACGAGGTCCCCACGGGCTTTGCTATTCTCAAAAGGAATCGCCCTGAGGAGAGCCCAGAGGTACGACCAGCACGTGCAAGGAGATGTCTAGCGAGAACCCCGCGTGTTCGAGAAGGAGCCGCCCTTCATCCGAGCTGGCGGTGCGCAGTGCCGCGCGGCAGGGCCCAGCTTCCGAGGGAGGCTGATGGGATAGCTCCTTTTTTGCAGAGGCTCCGCCCTTCATCCCTGTCTTGTTGCGCCTTCTGTGACCTTCGAGGTGGCCCTCCATCCCTGTCGCTGCTGAGAACACGTGGGACGAGTGTGCGCGGCGCAGGGGCGAGAGCAGAAAACCAAATCTGCGACGATATCGTCAGGAGGCTCATGTTGGGCATGGCCGGCGGCGTCCAGTCGTATCACCTACCTCTCCATTGAAGGCGGTGAGCAGCAGCAGCGGGTTCTTATGGCCAAGGAGAGTCCCATGAAAAAAAAAGAGAGAGAGAGGACAGGACGGATTTTTTGTTTGAATCGCGCCGCTGATGAAGCCCATCGCCTGTCAGCAAACTCTGGTACGCAGCTCGCAGAGACGATCTGGCACAGCCAGCCGGCTGCACGAACGAGTCGAAGAACGAACCCTCCGCACGGGCACCTGAGGCTGCAGGACAGCCAGTGAACGAGGCAGGAGAGGGGAGGAGAGGCGAGGCGAGGGGAGGGGAGGAGAGGGGAGGGGAGGGGAGGGGAGGAGAGGGGAGGGGAGGGGAGAGGGGCAACGCTCTCCACCGTGGCGAGGCAGGAGAGGGGAGGAGAGGCAGGCGAAGGACAGGAAGAGGTGTGGCGATGATGCTTTTTTTTTGTTCCTTCCCCGGCGTCAGTCTCCGACGTCGGCCGCCGGGGCCCGCCTCCGGGCCCTGGGGCCATCAGCAGCGGGTCCAGGGCGGAGTGCGGTCCCCGTCGGGCGTTGCTAGAGGTGCCCCTGGGCCACGGTGCCCCCAGGATTCTCGGGGTGGCCCAGAGCGGCCTCCAGAGCACCCCTCGCGAGGTCCAGAGGGCCTCAGGAGCTCCCAAATTAGGGGAACAAAAGGTGGCATAAACATACAAACTCGGAGGTCCGCGCGGATTTCTCGGATCGGCGCTGGACCCCCTTCCCTGGCGCGCGGGGCGCGCCAGGGGCGGCGCCGGAGGCGCCGCCGGCAGCGCCGATCCGAGTCCGAGAAATCCGCGCGGACCTCAGAGTTTTTATGTTTATGCCGCCGCCGCCGCCGCCGCCGTCGTCGTCGCCGTCGTCGTCGTCGTCGTCGTCGTCGTCGTCGTCGTCGTCGTCTGGGCGTGGCGCCGCGAAGGCCTGAGGCCTCGGCCCGGCGGCCGGACCAGCCGTCCAAGCACCCCGCTGGCTGGCAGCCATCCATGCGCTCGCAGGCGCTCGCCGTCGCCGTCGCCGTCGCCGTCGCCGTCGTCGTCGTCGTCGTTGTCGTCGTCGTCGGCGGCGGCGGCGGCGTCGTCGGCGTCGTCGTCGGCGGCGTCGTCGGCGTCGTCGTCGTCGTCGTCTTCCTCGGCGGCAGGCGGCGGAAGGCCCGGCGGAAGCAGAACGAGGCTGCCTCCGCCGGCGGGAGCCCGCGGGGGGCCGGCGGGAGGCCGGCGTAAGTAAAAAATGCCCCCCCCCAAGAAACTCGGCATCTCTTTTTTTTTTTTTTTGCTTTTTTGTTTTTTCTTGTTTTTGTTGTCTTTGCTTTCTCCCCTTTGCGAGGGCCATCGACGAGCATTTGGGATCATCTTGCAACAAAAAGACGACACGCACGAAGCGGAAGCCTGCACGGGGAATGGACGTGCGAGCGGCGGCAAGGAGGTGGCAGCATGTTTGTGTTCAGGGTGTCTGGAACCCGCCGCACGGGAGAATCAGCAGTAGTCGGACAGGCCCCGCCGGTCTCGGTTCGCCCTTGCTGTGAAACAGAAGTTGCTTCTCGGGGGGAGGGGGAGTGGATATTCTTGTGGAGCTTGAGCGGTAACCCATTTTTGCAGGAGGCGTACAGTCGGCCCTGATTAGTAGGGCGACCCTGCCAGTTCGAGGGTACTCTTGTTCCCTGTGTCTCCCGGCCCATGCCTCTTGTATTTCTATGGCAATGTGGCCCTCGGAAGGGTCTTTCATCCTCTCGCGTGTCGTGTCCAATCAAGTCCGACTATACTAGGCATCCCCGCAAACGCCTTCATTTCAGGGCCTGGCTTCTTGTGTAATGCTCGTACGCGTTCTCTGTCTCTGGTGCTGTGCCACAGCCTCAACCTCTTCTTCCGTGGCATTTTTTTGGCTCGAGCCGTTTGGCTCAAGAGACGTGAGTGTTGGAGTGATTAGTCGTCTCTCGTGGCCACAGCGTCGCACCGGTCGGCATGATTCGCTCTCCGATCGGGCGCAGTACCGTTGTGCGTGTGCTGGACGGCGGCATGGGGGTGCTCTTGCCCAAGCTGGGCGTTCCCAAAGATCCCATCATTTGGTCCGCGCGTGCGCTCGTGGATGAGCAGAACCATCCACTTGTCGTCAGAGCGCACAGGCAGTTCATCGACGCAGGCGCGACGGCCATCATCACCAACAGCTACTCAGTAATCCCAGGCTACCTTCGCAAAGCAGACATGGTGGACAGGGCGCCCGCGCTGGCTGCACTCGCCGCGGGCCTTGCCAGGGAGGCCGCAGGCGCAAGGGGCGCTGGTTGCTCTGCGATGGTGCTCGGCTCTTTGCCCCCGCTCGTGGAGTCGTACCGCGCCGACCTGCTTCTGCCCGAGGACGAGGCCGTTGGCTGGTACGCGATGCTGGCGCGTGCCATGGTCAGAGACGTTGATCATTTCATCTGTGAGACGATGTCGTGCCCTGCCGAGGCAACCGCTGCAATCAGGGGCGTCGCGAAAGGGGCGCCCGATGCGAAGGCATGGGTCTGCTTCACGGTCGACTCAGAGGGTCGGTGCAGGGATGGAACGCCATTCAACCTTGCCGTAAGAGCCCTGATGACATTTCCAAATATTGTATCCGGAATTGGCGTGAACTGCTGCATGCCAGAGGCCGTTGAACCTGCGATGAGTGCGCTGGAGAGCGATGTTGAAGCTTCTTCGTTTGCTGCTGGGGTGGAACGTGTGGTTTATGCCAACGCGTATCCGAAGTCTCACAGTGAAGGTCTAGAGTACAGCACTGAGGATTTCGACGACGAAGCTGTACGGGAAGACTTGAACGCTCAGCGATACGCTGAAGTCGCGGCGACGTGGGCCAATAGAAAGACTTTGCCATTTACGACCGTCGGGGGTTGTTGCGGCATCTTGCCTCATCATATCGAGCAAGTCGCAGCAACGTTAAAGGCGATTGGCAGTGCGAGCGTCGATCGACCTGCTCACTAGAGTATTATGTTCTCTATGTGCCGAGTTTCGACCGAGTATTTTCTTTCCTCTTCCCTGTGCGGATGAGAATAGAAACTCCTCACGCGGGGAGAAAGACAAGTCAGCTGCTGGCCTTCGGCGGAGACGCCGCTGCCGTCGCCGGAGTCGTCGTCGCCGCCGCCATCGTCGTCATCGTGGATTCGACGGCAGCGGCGGCGGCAGCGGCGGCAGCAGCGGCGTCGGCGGCAGCAGAGGCGGCAGTGGCAGAGGCGGCAGAGGCGGCAGCGGCGGCAGCGGCACAGACGGTGGCGGCGGTAGAGTCGGCGGTGGCAGAGGTTCCAGAGGCGGCGACAGAGGCGGCGACGGAGGCGGCGAAGGGTTGGCGGCGGCGTCGGCCGCAGAGGCGGTCCCGGCGGCAAATGCGGCGGCGGGGGCGAAGGCTGCGGCGGCAGAGGCGCCTGCGGCAGATGCGGCGGCAGAGGCGGCAACGTCGGCAGAGACGGCGGCGAAAGCGACGGCGGCGGCGGCAGATGCGGCGGTAGAATCAATGGCAGAGGCGACAGCAGCGGCTGCGGAGGTGGCGGCGGTGGCGGCGGCGGCGGCGGCGGAGGCGGCGGCGCAGACGGCGGCGGCGGCGGAGGCGGAGGGGGCAGAGCCGCGGGGGTGGCGGTCCTCGCGGGTTCCGCCTTGCGAGGGCGCCGCCTGGGCCGCCGCCCCCCGGCCGGAGCAGCCCGCGGTCCTGCGGCAGGGTAGCGCCGCGGGCGGCCTGGAGGCCGCCATCGCCGCGGCAGTCGTAGTCGCCGTCGTCGTCGTCGTCGTCGTCGTCGTCGTCGTCGTCGCCGTCGCTGTCGTCGTCGTCGCCGCCGTCGTCGTCGTCGTCGTCGTCGTTGTCTTCGTCGTCGTCGTGGCCGTCGCCGTTGCCGTCGCTGTCGCCGTCGCCGTCGTCGTCGTCGTCGTCGTCGTCGTGGCCGTCGCTGTCGTCGTCGTCGTCGTCGTCGTCGTCGTCGTCGTCGTCGCCGTCGCCGTCGCCGTCGCCGTCGCCGTCGGCGCCGTCGCCGTCGCCGTCGCCGTCGTCGTCGTTGCCGTCGCCGTCGCCGTCGCAGTCGCCGTCGTCGTCGTCGCCGTCGTCGTCATCGTCGTCGTCGTCGCTACTGGTAGTGTTGCCGCCGTCACCGACGCCATTGCCGTCGTCGTTGCCGTCATCGTCGTTGATTAAGCATTTCAAATGAAATAATTATTTTTGACCCCGTTTCCGGTGTGCATTCTGTTTTTAAGTGAAATGCCCTTTCCCATGGCTCGCACCCGTTTTTTTTTCAAGGGAACGTCTTGAGGTCAAGATTGTTTCTTTGCCCTTCCCCCCGGTCTGCAACAATAGCGGTTCCCGCCTGAGACCTCCTCACAATTTATTCACAATCGCGCTCTCGCGCGGGACTTCCCCACAACTTCAGCAGGCATCGCGCATTCGAGTGGGTCAACCTATGAATCTGGTGAGGATGTCGATGCCGATCTTGTTTTCAGGACGATGGTGACGATGACGATGACGATGGCGATGATGTTGGCGATGGTGATGCAGATGAGGATGGTTTTGTTGATTTGGATATCGCGCATCCTCGTAACACGACGGTTGGGGCAGCGTCAGAGTTCGATTCGCAGGAGAGCGAGGACAGGACGATGAGTGGGAATATGGAGGAGTGGACGAGCAGGAGGATTTGGAGGAACAGTGTAAGCCAAGAGCCGTTAGCGATATTTGAATGAACCTTCCAAGCTACCTCCTCATAGGCCCCTGCAGGATTCTTCTCCGCTGAGGGAAATATCCCGTTGGGAGACAAACGTTTGAAGATCTTGAGTCATGCCCAAACACCGTTTCTCGGGATTCCAACGCCACGAATCAACCAGACTGTTGCGTTTTGACAATTTTAAGTCGCACCAAGACACCATTCTTGGGATTCCAGCACAGCAAGAAAGCGTCATTGTTGTGCCGTGACAATCCTGAATCCTTCCAACACGCCATCCTTGGTACGTTAAGCGTGTGAGCCCGCGAAAATCTTGCAAAGTGTTGAGGCACCTGGGCATGGCTCTAATGCCCGAGCCACATTTTGAAAAGGGACTGCCCTCAATCCGTGCAGCCTTTGTAAATTGCTAAAAACGAATGTGATCGGCGCTGAGGCGAGAACCACATGTTGAAACGCAGCCGCCTCCAATCCGTAAACACTTGGTGGATCTTTGAAACGAATGTGCGCGGCGCTAAGGCGAGAGCCACATTTTGAAAAGGAGCCGCCCTCAATCCGTGAAGGTCTTGTACATCTTTTAAGCGAAAGTGCGCGGCGCTAATGCGAGAGCCACCTTTCGAAGACGACTAGCCATCCATCAGTGAAACTCGCGTAGATTTTTGAAACGAATGTGCACAGCGCCGAATCGAGAGCCACATTTAAAAAAGGAGCCGCCTCAACCCGTGACGTTCTTAGAACTTTTCAAGGCAAGCGTTGTCTTCCAACATGGGGCTCTCGACTCAGGTGCGTATTTTTTGTGCGTCGTTTAGCAGGATATCTGACTGATCTGTTTCAAAATGGTCCCGTCGCGTTTTTTTGCTTGTTGTTTGTTTTCCTTTTTGTTCAGCAGAGCGTACTAGTAGTATTATTAGTATTGTTATTCGAATTATTCTTTTTCTTCTTCCCGATATTATTGTTATTATTGGTATTATTGTTATTGTTGTTGTTGTTGTTGTTGTTGTTGTTGTTGTTGTTATTGTTGTTGTTGTTGTTGTTATTATTATTGTTATACTTATTATTATAATATTATTATTATATAATCTATTACGATGACTATTATTATTATTACTATTATTACCATTATTAGTATTATTATTATTATTATTATTATTATGATTATTATTATTATTATTATTATTATTATTAATATTAGTATAATAATAATATGCTTACATCTATGTATTGAAACACATCTAGACAGCGACATTTCAGCCGATGTGGCGCTGCGCAGGTCCAGGGCGGCTCTCTTTTAACACCGGGCTGCCGCTGGCGGTGCCCTCGGAGTGCAGGGCCACGGCGAAGCGTGTGCAGCGCCGGCACGGGCGGCGGGCGGCCCCGCCTCGAAGAGTAGGGGGCCACCTGCGAACCACACCCCTACAGTCGGGGGCTTGACCTAAGGAACCCTAAATAAGGAACGAGGCCCCTTTCTTCCATGAGTTAAACTTCGATTTCCGATCGAAAACATAAGGAACACCTGAGGCAAGCTGCGAAACACTTAAGGAACACGGAGCCCCTCCCCAACGAAAAGGGTTCCTTCTTCAGGGCCCCGACTGTACCCCCCGCGAGTTCTGAGGGGGAGGGCGGGGGTTCACTTCGCTCGGGAGCTCCCGAGCGAGGTGAACCCCACGCTCCCCCTCAGAAATCGTGGGGGGTAGGGGTGGTAGGGTTCGCATGTGGCCCCCTAAAGAGGGGACCTCGAAGAGTAGGGGGCCACATACGAACCCTACCCCTAACCCCCCGCGAGTTCTGAGGGGGAGGGCGGGGTTTCACTTCGCTCGGGAGCTCCCGAGCGAGGTGAACCCCACTGCTCCCCCTCAGAAGTCGTGGGGGGTACAGTCGGGGCCCTGAAGAAGGAGCCCTTTTCGTTGGGGAGGGGCTCTGTGTTCCTTAAGTGTTTCGCAGCTTGCCTCAGGTTTTCTTTATGTTTTCGATCGGAAATCGAAGTTTAACTCATGGAAGAAAGGGGCCTCGTTCCTTATTTAGGGTTCCTTAGGTCAAGCCCCCGACTGTAGGGGTAGGGTTCGCATGTGGCCCCCTAAAGAGGGGATCTCGCTGGACACCTCCTTGAAGAACGGTATGGCCAAAGCTCTCACGCTCCGCATGGCTTGCCAGCAGTCTGCAAGGCGATTCCTGCTCATGGCGGGGCCCTCGCCACGATCCCAACCGTGCTGGTTTTGCAAGGGGGCGCTTCTTGTTGTAGCGAAGAGGAATTGGTAGAGACGTCTGAGGAGGGGACTTGGGACGGGAGGGTGTATTGCAGCATCGCTGATGCATCTTTGGCTTCTCCTCATGCTCCTCGTCCTCCCAAGGCTCTCTTCCTCTCCTTTCCCCTCCTTTTCCTCCTCCTCCTTCTCTTTCTTTTCCTCCTCCTCCTCCTCCTTTCCCCCTCCTTTACCTCCCCCTCGTTCCCTCTTCTCCGCGTCGGTGGACACAGGCGCGATCACTGCTTCCCTGCGAGCGGCTGCAGCGGCGCCAAATGGCAGCCTTGAGCGTAACCAGCGCCGCGATTCGCGACGCGAGCTCGGCGCGGCGCGAGGCTGTCGCCGCAGGCCCCGCCTGCAGCGAACTCTCGCAGACGCCGCTGCCTAGGTGCTCTTCCTGGAAGGCTTCCACGCCACAATTCTTGGGGGGCGCGTCACGGGGGGGGCGATACGTTGGGGGCAGCGAGGGCTGCAGAAAGGGTCCCTTGAGGGCCCCTAGAGGGGCCCTTCAGGGCCCCCCAAATGGCACCTTTCTCCCACCCTATTGATCGCCCTCCCCTTCATTCGCGCCAACATTCGCCGCCGCCGCCTCCGTGTCTGGTGGCCGGACCGGGCGGTTCCTGCCGACCTCCGTCAGAGTCGGGCCGAACGAAAGGGGGGGATAGGGAAAGGGGGGGTTACGAAATCTGCTGCATGCAGCTGGTTTCGGCCCCGCCGCCGGGCCCATTCCTCGATACATGGGCGCCTCCTGGCGCCGGGAGGCGTCGGGAAAATCAGCTACGTGAGCTAATTCTCAAGCCCCCCCTTTGCTATCCCCCCCTTTCGCCCGGCCCGACAGAGGTGGCTTCGCCTCAAAGCCAGCTCGCGGTCGCTGCCCCGGGCACGTGCTGGGCGGCCCTGCGTACCCTCGCCGGCGCCTCGCCGATGTCTTGCCGTATGCACGTGGGCCAACCGCGCCTTGCGTGCCGCTGGAGCTGCGAGGACGGCACGCACCAGATTTCGCACCGCCTGCAGTTGCGTGGTGCGTGGTGGTGTGCGCGCGCGCGCGCGAGCGTGTGTGTGTGTGTGTGTGTGTGTGTGTGTGTGTGTGTGCGTTGCCTCGCGCACTATCGCCCACGCGTGCCCTCTGCACCCCCTCGGCCTGGGCTCGGCGCAGGACTGCG